ATGCCATTCTGTCAAAATATGAAAATTAGTCAAAAACAATTGTAGCAATATTGAATAGAATTGTTACTACTATAGTCACTATTTAATGTTTATATTTTTATTTGTTCAATCTTTTTATCTTATTGTTGTTAAAATATGTCCCAAGTACTATAAACTTCTGGGTCATCCAATGGTGCTTAGTGTTTGCCCGTGTGGCACCGCTCTATCTTCCTGAAGAAGCATGCTTAAAGAACTTAGACCAAGTCTATGGGTCGAGTCTATCTGTTGTTGCAGGCTCTGATAAGTCCACCCTCCTTCAAAAGGGTAGGGATTCACATGTTTTTCAATACATTTTCTTTTTAATTTTTTTTCTTGATGAATTACTTATAATTAATGAATAAACGGTTCGCTTTTTTATAATGTGAAGAAAAGAATTAAAAAGATAATGTATTAGAAAAAATCTCGCTTTGTGTGACATACGTTTTCATTCATATTTTATTTAAGGAGTATAAAATTTTATACACAAGCACTTTGATATTGCAAGCCCGGTTTCATACTCATTTATGAACAATAAAGAATAAAAAGGGTTTTTAATGCATAACAAGGATTCTCATGCACGCTTAGTACAAGGATTTTATTTGGAGTAATGTTATGTATAGTAAAATTTGTACTAAATCATTTGCAGCTATTGGATCACTAGATCTCATCACTAATCTAACAACTATAATTAATTTGGTATAAGTTTTGATGTACAAATTTAGTGCATAAAAAAATTACAAAAGGAACTAACTCTTTGTTCATCAAAGCTTTGAATTTGGAAAGTTTTGGGTTTATATTATGATTAAGTTATATTTTGACCCCTTAATTATGACTATTTTTTAGATTGTCCTTTCACTATTTCACATTACAATTTTAACTATTTTATGACTATTTTTATTTAGATTCTTGTTCAAAGGGTAAGCTAAGAAAAATAATTTCAAAATTTAGGTTCAAAAGTTTAATGTACTTCACACACTCATATTTATTAAAGGACAAAAAAAATTAACAAGAAAATCTTGACAAACATTGTATCTGTTGTATCAATAGTAGCTGGTCTATTATTAAGTAAACTTGAAAAAAAAAAAGAGGAGAATTACATCTAAACTTTTTAAAGTTTATCACTTAGACCCTTGACATTTGAAATATTATACACAAACTCCCTAAGATTTGTGCGTGCATAACACTATCCCTATCATTAATGTTCGTTAGTATATTCATCAGTAAATTACACTCAAACTACTTGAAATTTTTGTAGGTGTATAACAGTTAAACCTTTCAAATTTAAAATATTACGGTTAAGCCACTTATTAATTATAGAACTAACAAAATCTATTAAACGATCAAATTACCCCAATTAAAGATAGAAGATATTGTATCTATTACGATTTGACCAAGTGTTTGGTCTTTTAGTTTTATTCCTATAGATAATATAATTGTATACTAATTATGATTTTTTTTTTTAAAATTAGATTTTTATTTTTAATTTTATATCAATAAATGACATAATAAAACATGAATTTTGGTTATAAAATTTAAAATAATTGATATTCTATCTTTGATTGGAGTATTTTTAGTTTAAGAATAATATTTTAAAGGTGTCTAAAAATTTTAGAGATTCTGAGTGTAATTTACTAATAAATAGATTAACAAATATTGATGATAAGGGTTTAAGTGTTTACATATATACAAATTTTAGATACCATATTTTTATTTTGAGTAAAAATTTATTTTAATCCCTAAAGTATGTATATAGTATTTATTTGACTCTCAATCTTTCAGTTGTGTCTATTTGGTCGTTAAGGTTTCTAATTTGTGTTTATTTGGTTCAATCTCAAACGTCCGTCAAAAAATCGTTAACACCTCTGGTCACGCGCCAATCACGTGGGACCAAATCAACATAAATTAAGAACTTTAGAAATTAAATATATATAAATTAATAATTTTAGGGATCAAACAAACATAAAATTATAAACTATGTGATTGATACGTTTTCAAAATCGTCATGATTTTTTAACACGTTTGGGATTGGTTTATGTACACACAAATTAGGAACTTTAAGGACCAAACAGACACAATTGAAATATTATGGGTCAAATAAAGAGTACACGCATACGCTAGGAATTAAAAGTATATTTTATCCTTTTATTTTTTATCTATTAAAATGTCCACTTTTAAAGTTTTTTAATTTTATTGTTTGTTATTTTTTCATTTAGTAAAGAAAATCACTCAAAAGAAGGTCAATACTTCAATTCAAATTTCAACACTGGAATTGCCCCCATTGTTTTTTTTTTGTTCAACGGTTAGGTATTCGGGTCAACTTATGTGTACCTCGATTAATTTTCTCTCCGGTTCGATCAAAGATAGGTCATCCACACTGAAACTATAATATTCATGATGAATAATTCACTCTATTGTTCTGGACAAATATATTTTCATATATCTATATAATAAAGTAAAATATAATTAAAATCTCAAAAGATAAACAAAATGATTTTTGTTTTTCGCGATTGAGATTTCTTTAAATTTTATTTTAAACTTAATCTGATAGCTAATATCAACTCTCAAAATTTAATAGAAAAAATAAGTCTCTAAAAGTATGTTTGAGATAATTTTTTAAAAATACTTTTACGACTTTTAATTTCTCATAAGTATTTTTTTTTAAAAAAATAGTGTTTATAACCGCCTCACCACTACAACCATCGCGGCCCCACCACCGTGTCACCACTACCACTACTACTACCACTAACACCACCACCACCCACCCACCACTAATACCACCCCCATCACACCACCACCATTACACCCCATCACCAGTATCGCCATTGTCACCCACTATCGCCCCGCCACCACCTTCCCCAGTACCCCTACCCCCACCCACCACCTTGCCGTCACTGTTCTACCATTACCTCTACCGCCCCACCATATCCATCGTACCCACCCCACCACAGCCACTATTGTCTATCACTATTACCATTATCACTACTTACTCTCACTATAATTATTATTTAAATTCATTTTTCTCATTTTTATATATTTTATTTGATTTTAAGTGTAAATACAAATATATTTATTGTTGATTTTTTTTTATTATTTTATGTCTTCAGGTACATGCAATAATTAGTGTTTTGATAAATTATCTAACTAAACATTTCTCATAATTACATCACTGAATCCCCTCAATATGTCCAAAAATCGTCCTAAGCTCTTTGCGCTCTCTCTCTCTCTAGCGCATGTTGAAAAAAAACATGATTTATTACATTATAAAAACTAGTTGAAAACAATTGTAACAGTATTGAATAGAATTGTTATTAGTCACTGTATAAAGTTTTATATTCATGATTAGTTAAATGTTTTTATCCTATTGTTGTTAAAATATGTCCTCGATACTATAAACTTCTGGGGTCATCCAATGGTGCTTAGTGGTTGCCCATGTGCCACCGCTCTGTCTTTCTGAAAAAGCTTGCTTAAACAACGTAGACCAAGACTATGGATGAAGAAGTCTACCTGTTGTTACAGGCTCTGATAAGTCCTCCGTCGGCTCCTTTAAAAGGCTTTTTAGTAGGGATTCATTATACATATCTTTTCTAATACATTTTCTTTTTAATTTCTTTTTTGATAAATTATTTATCATTAATAAATAAAGGGCCCACTTATTTATAATATGTTTCACTTAAATGCACGATAGAAGATTTGTCGAGAAGAGAATTGAAAAGATAATGTATTAAAAATAATATCGCTCTTTTCATTCATGCTTTATTTAGGACGTATAAAATTTTATGCACGAGCATTTTGATATTGCAAGTGTGGTTTATTTCTCATTTATGAACAATAAAGAATAGGGAAACAAGGATTTTTAATGCATAACAAGTGTTGGAGAGCACGCTTAGTACAAGGATTTTATTTGGGTTTCCTATTTTGAGAACTATTGTTTCTAGGGAAGAATTTATTTCGGAGAAATTCTTGGTAGAAAAAGAAAGTAAGAGTAATGTTACGTGTATTAAAAATGTGGATCAAAACTTGCACTAAATCACTTTGTTGTCGTTAGATTAGTGAGTCCTATTACTGATTTAATAAACTACAATTGATTTGGTACACAAAAAATTACATAGGAGGTAATTCCTTGTTCATCAAAAGCTTTGCATTTGGAAAGTTAAGGGTTTATTAGCTTTTATATTACGATTAAGTTACACTTTAACCACCTTAATTATGACTCTTTTTTCACATTGTCCTTTCACCTATAACATTTCTCACTTTACACTTTTAATTATATAATTAATTGCAATTTTCCCACTAGTTAATGCCCATTGTAGATTTGACAAAAAATTATTTTATTTTAATCCCCAAATTATGTGTTTTTTTTTACTTTAAACCTGTCACGCTGACAATATTCGTCAAAAAGATAATGACATTTGTATTTGGGGTAGTGTATGTAAACTCAACTCAAGTAGTTGAGTGGAGTGGGGCAGTGTGAACAATTCTGTAGCTAACAAAGTAAAATTGAGTCCATAATTAAGAGAATTAAAATGTAATTATTCTTTATACCGTCGGATTCTCCCTTCCTTGTCCAATAAGCCTGTAAATTTGGAACTCTATAAAAACATGCAACGGACTGTGCAATCAACATGAATTATATCCCTCATCCCACAAGAGTTGAGGGAGAGAGAGTAATCTTTCATGTGTGAAAAGCTTGTGAGCAGTGGAAGAGCATTGTATCTAATTAGAGGAGAGGTCTGTTTCTTGTGGTTCTTGTGTATTCCTTTTGGGGTTTTGGGGTATCGGGGTTTGGGTACCGTCGCTCTTCTTCTGTTGAGAGAGTATCAATACTCGAGAGTTTCTTCGAAATTGCAAGTAAACTCCATGTGTATTCTATTGCTGATTTCTTAATACATATGGTCAAAGTCCACGTCTGTTGAAAAATCAACGTCTCTCTCGTCTAGATTTCCTATAAAAATCAACACAACCTCTCCCCTTGCATTGTCTCAAAACCCATCAATCCCCCCCAACTTTCTTTTCTCCTCTGTAACCCTTCATTGTTCAAATTACGGACTCAACAAAAGAGACACCACCATTAAACCCAAAAACCATGTCGTCCACAGAATCAAGTTTAGCCACAGCGAAGACAGTTGTCACCACCTTAGGTTCCATTGCCGCAACGGCCATGGTGGTCCGTACATTTGCCAGAGACTACGCCCCTGAAGAACTCCAAGACTATCTCTCTCTTGGACTAAGAAACCTTTTCAACAGATTCTCAAACCAGTTAACAATGGTGATAGACGAGTTCGATGGCCTTGTCAACAATGAAATTTATGAAGCTGCCGAGACCTATTTGGGCCCCAAGATCACCCCCAACACTCGTCGCCTCAAAATCAGCAAACCCGAAAAGGAGAAGAACATTAACATCACCATGGAACGCAATGAAGAGGTCACAGATGTCTATGAAGGAACTAAATTCAAGTGGGTTTGGGTTTGCAAACAAATGGAGACAAGAAATCCAAGACACTTCTATAATCCTCGTGACTTAAATTCAACTCTGAGACATGAAATCCGATCGTTCGAGCTAATGTTTCACAGAAAACACAAAGATATAGTGGTCAATTTTTACCTGCCTTACATTATGGAAGAAGCAAAGAAGAAGCAACAAGAACAGAGGACTCTGAAGATTTTCACGGCCGATTATGAGGACATGTACGATTTGTCCAATATATGGACATCGGTGAATTTGGACCACCCATCGACGTTTGAGACTTTGGCAATGGATTTAAAGCAGAAAGAGATGGTGTTGAAGGATCTTGAGAGGTTTGTGAAGAGAAAAGAGTATTATAGGAAGGTGGGCAAGGCTTGGAAGAGAGGGTACTTGTTGTATGGGCCTCCTGGAACTGGGAAATCGAGCTTTATCGCAGCCATGGCCAATTTCTTGAATTTTGATGTGTATGATTTGGAATTGACTGAGTTGAAGCGTAACTCGGATTTGAGGAAGTTGCTGTTGGCGACGGCGAATCGGTCGATATTGGTGGTGGAAGACATTGACTGTACCATTGAGTTCCAAGATCGAGCGGCGAAGAAGAAGAAGAAGAAGAAATCAGAATCCGAGGATGAGGAAGAAAGCAAGGTTAGTAGTTCGGTTCTATTTTTTTGGACTTTATTTTCTTTGCGATTGTGATTGTGATTGTGATTGTGAGTGTGAGTGTGAGTGTGTTCATACTTTGTTATCTGTTCTCCTAGTATTATTATTATTATTATTATTTTGGGTGATTAGCTCAGCTCTTTAATCAATTTTTTTTTTCAGTCCGATCAAAAATTGGTCAGACTAAAATATTTATAAAGGATAAATTATTCGTAGCTTAATCTCAAGGATTGTCAAGATTCAATTTCAATCTTAATTAATATTGAGGTCTTTTGTCAATTCAATAATAATAATTGATTAGATTAACAAATTAAATCAATAAATTAATTTTTATTTGCGTAAATTAGTGTTATGTATAGTTAGGCCTTACAATTGTATTGAATGGAACGATTTCGTGTCGAGTGGAACTACTTCGTGTTAAAAAATCCTCTATTCTTATCCTATTTGTTTATATAAATGAGTCAACTATCACACCCGTACACGATTTATTTATTAGACAGGTTACTCGACACAACTCGTATGTCACCGTTAAATATGAGAAGCAATTAGAGTATTTCAAGTCCACATAAAAAATCATTAACTTGTCAAACATTACACATGTTTGACCTGTTTATTATAACAATAAATCATAATAAACAAAAAAATAAAGACAAAAAATAAACATTAAATTACTACTAAATTTGAACGAGTTTGAGAGATGGGAGGCATGAGATGCAGCTGGGATACCTAATTATTTTTTTTTAGAATTTATAATGTTACTGTTAACAAGTTGAAACGAGTTTATGGATTAAACACGAAATCAGTTCATTTATTTTATAGGTCTATCGAGTTAACTCGTTAATCACCCGAATCCATTAAAACTATACTCAAACCCGCTAAATCAGTGTCTTATGTATTTATTTCACCGACTCCTGTCTAGAATTGTGAGGCTCAGGTATCACCTTCCTTGCCTTCACCCACAATGTGATAAGATTCGATCATATCCCAGATAAATATTTTCCTCTCTCCCATTATAATCTAATTTAATGATTATGTAAAAAATATAATTTTAAAAAGCATACATGTTAGGAAACTAAAAATGTGTTGTTTGTCATATGACCCAGCACCTCAGCTGGCCATCGAATTGGTTGGTTGATGGTACGACTGTCGACGAGCCGTATTGTATGATATTTTTCGCTCATAATACTATATTAAATTTTATTCAATTCATAATTGTGTATAATTAATTATTTATAATTGTGTATAATAATTATTTTTCGTGTATAAACGTTATTTGGTCATATTCATATCAACACAATCTAAATGAATTTTACGAGTCAATACATTTATGACATAAAATTATTATGTATAGTCAATTTTCTGTTAGTGTTAACAATTATGCACATTAATCGAGAATTTGCTATTGTTTAAGATGGTCAGATGGAAAAATAGCTTTCTTGGAAAGAATAAAAAAAAAAAAAACCTTACTTTGTCCACACATACCACCCCAAGCTGACAAGATTGACAATATGTTTCAAAGGACTACATCAACCTAAATTAAATATTAGCTTTTTTAAAGATGGTCTAAAAGTTTTGTTATATAGAATCAGACAACAAACCAAACTTTGCTTTGTCCACATTAATCGCCACAAGATGCTTGTTAAAAAAAAAAAAAAATACTATTTGTATGGGTCCTTTGATTCTCTCCAATGCAACATGTATAGGGCATCAAGAATACTATTTGTATTTAATTTAACGATTTATTTTGAGAATTTGATGTTGTGATCATTGAATTGATGACGACTTTCATTCGATAATGAAACCTTGTGTTAATTCATTAGTCAAAGTACGTTAAATTTTCAAATTAAGTTTTAATAGTATTTGTTCATCGGTATTACTCAATCTTCACCATAATAATAAGTTTTAGAGGCATGGTAAACTTGCTTCGGAATAATGTGTACAATTTTGGCTCTTTTTATGCAGACTACCAGCATTTGATTTAAAAATGGATTATTCATCGTTTCACATTTGTTTTTGCCATAGGTGACACTGTCCGGTTTCCTCAATTTTATTGATGGTCTATGGTCTAGTTGTGGCGATGAACGGATTATAATTTTCACAACAAATCATAAAGAGAAGCTCGACCCCGCGTTGCTACGCCCCGGTCGAATGGATGTGCACATCCACATGTCTTATTGCTCCCCCTCTGGGTTCAAAGTTCTAGCTGACAATTATCTTGGTATCAAAGACCATGAGCTTTTCGGAGAGATTGAGGAATTGATTCAAACGGCGGAGGTGACACCGGCAGAGGTAGCCGAGCAGCTATTGAAAGACGACGATTACGAGCATGATGCTGCACTCAGTGGCCTTATAAATTTCCTCCATGTGAAGGAGAAGGAAAATGAAGAAGCCAAGGCCAAGAAAGCAGAACAAGAATCAATCAAGGAGGAGAGTGAACAAGAAGATGAGAGTGATAAGGAAGAGAAAGAAGAGAAACAAACCAGGATAATTAAAGTGTGAGCTGGTAAAGTAAATTGAGACGATAGGAGTTTTGTTAAGTAATAATTTCTATGATGTCTACGAAAGAGGTGTCAAGCAGCTTGAGATGGGCTTTCATTGGTCATGGTTACCTTTTGTATTCAATTCATTGTATTTGCTTTCTTCCTTATGATAATGTTACTTAGACTTCAAAATATTAAAATTCACTATCTTTTCAATAATTATGATAAGTTAATAATACATATTAACATTTTAAGTTTAAATAATACTTTTCATCTTGTTATTGACAAAAATTTCATACACTAAAGTACGAGGACTCGTTCTTAGTTTTGAATGACTCTCGTTCTTAGTTTTGAATGACTCTTGTGACGAGTAAATGACCTGCCCATTGGCAATTGGGATGGGCAGGCTTTGGGCTTTAGGAATGTCAAAGTTAGAGCATGCCCTCAAATTTTGGGTTGGGAGATGGAATGTTGTCACGCCCATTCCCAATTCCAACAAGTTAGGCCTTCATGGAGAGGTCTCAGCCCATGCCCAAATTCCAAGCCGAATATCTATATAATAAATTAGGTATGTGTTTGAATTTATGAGGATATATTTTTCTCCCAAATTTCACACATTCAACGCACACTTTCCACTCCAAATTTTAAAAACACAACACACACAGCTGCACATACATACACACACATATTCTAATGTATGTATAGTGTCATAATTCAATGTAGAGTAACTTTAGTCACGGGTTATTGCTAGTAAAAAAATATAAGGGAAATTAGAAGGGGGTACACTAAATTAGAATTAATTATAAAAAAAGTAAACAGAAAAAAATGTAGAGTAAATAAGTCTTTAATTTTTATACTTATTTGTGTCCAAGTACATTATTTAAAAATTTCAAATTTTCTTGTAACCTTTATGTCCACGTGATCCATGCATATTTTTTTTTTGAAAAAGTACTTAGTTTTTTTTTTTTCAAATTACATTTATGCATTAAATATCTCCTAGTTTTATTGGATTACTTTAACATTCCGTTTATTTATACATTAAACATCTCCTAGTTTTAGGGTGTATCATTTTGTTTGAATTTTAAATTTGAGTTAATTGTAAAAAAGTAAACATAAAAAAATATAGAGGAAAAAAGTCCTCAATTTTAGTTATTATTTATGTCTAAGTACATAATTTGTAATTTTTAGATTTTTCTTTGACACTTGTACTCCCTTAATTCATGCGATTAATTTTTGGAAACTGATTTTTTTTCCAGATTATATGTATGCATTAAAAATTTTCTAATTTAATGGAAGATTTGATCCTTCCGTTTTTTTTTTTAGGATAAATGTATGCATTAAAAATCTTCTAATTTAATTGAAGATTTGATCCTTTCGTTTTTTTAGGATAAATGTATGCATTAAAAATCTTATAATTTAATGGAAGATTTGATTCTTTTATTTTTTGTTTATTGTGAGGAAAATCAGTTTGTTTGAATTTTAAATTTTACAACAGTATCTTTTGTTATTTTAAAAGTGATTATTATGTTTTTTAATATGCGAACACTATATCAGTGTAATAATAACAATGTAACAAGACACTTACACAAAATATTGTACTATTATATTTTGTCAAACATAAATTTGTATATAATTCCAATCAAACAGTCTATCTCTATTTTGAATTTGTTACAATATCCACAAAATCACTGAACACTGTCTTTGTCACAGGGTATTGTTACACTGTGAGGAAAACGCAATCAAAAGTTAGGAAATACACACAGTTTATTCACACACAATAAATTAATATAACAAAAACCCTATAGATATTCAGAGAACAAGAACTTTCTGCAAAAAAAAAACACAAAAATCAAAATAAATGTAATAATATTTTGATTTTAGATAACCCATGATGTCAATACAAAAAAAAAAAAAAGGTACATGGAATGAGTCAACGATCCAAATGCAGTCACAAGCAAAGAGAAGATTGTGACCCGAAGATTTGTGTTTAATAAATCAAAGTTAGAAACCCTCAAGAAATGTGCATGCTCAGCCGCTGAATTAACATGGAAGGATCCGACCTGGGTTGAAGTTGTCTCACCTTTCATATAGAACCATTTCATGGAGGTTGCCAAATGTCAAAGCTAAAATCGATTCAAAAAAGCTATTTGCTGCAGTTTTTGCATTGAACTTGAGACCCAAAATGAATCCACCCCTTTTTTATCATGCCTTTGGAAACCTATGGAGCTTTGCTCTTGCAGTTTCAAAGCCAGAGGAAAACAAAGATTATCATGATATGGTTTTCAAGCTCAAGAACGCGATAAGGAAGATCAATGGAGACTATGTGAAGAAACTCTAATCACGAAAAGACCTCTCACCAATCTTGAGTTTGTGCAATGAAACCCCAAATCCACTATCAAATCAATGTACAGATCACAATCAACACTCTACTCTTGAAATTTTTTATAAAAAATAAAGAGTTGTGAAGTTTTCTCAGAAGAAGATGAACTGGTTTTGTAATGAAGAATGAGTATAACCATACTCGAAGATGTAGAGATTTGAAAATAAATTTACATAAATTTCAGCGATTAAGATAAATGCATTTTCACAGTTTTTAGAAAAGATAATTTTATAAAATATGCATTTATGTCTTTGTATTTCAGTAGTGTATTTTTTTATAATTATGTCTAATTTAGTGTACTAATTTTTAAAAGACCCAAAAATATATCTTGTTCTACATCTCTCTTACCAAGACACAAAAGAGAAAAAAAAAAGTTTCTTTCTAACCCAAATCTAGTGTTTTAAAACTTGGTTCGGTCCGAAAATTTAACCCGGTGAATTGGAGGTTAAATTAGGCCAATTACTATATTATATCGTTTAAGTACAAAAACTATTTATAACTAGTTGAATCGGACGATTTTTGACTTTAGCATTTAAATCGGATGGGTCATGTAAAGCACTATAAAAACCAAGGCCCTGTTTGGTTTACGTTTCAAAAAATAGTATCCGAAAACAGTTTTTGAGAAAAGTTTTAAAAAAGTGATTTTGATATTTTTAGAAATAAAAAACTTGTTTGGTTAGATGATTTCAAAAACAATTTTACAATACAGAAAATAGTAAAAACCTGTTTGGACAGTCTAAATATATATTTGAATAGTAATTCAAACATTAATAAAAAAATATTAAAAAATTATTTTTAGATTGACAAATTCATAAAAAAAAATTCAATAAACCAAACTTTAATATATATATATATATATATATATATATAACTAAATAAATATATATTTATATGTATATCTATTTATATGTATTTATATAAATATATATACACGTATGTGTGTGTATATATTGTTCTCATTGTTTCTAAAATTTTCAAAGAAAACTTTGAAAACAAGCTACGCTTGTGTTTTTGTTTATTTGATTCAAATCTCATTTTTTTAAAAAAATTTAGAGAACAAAAATATTAAATAAATAAATTTTGAGTATTTTTTAAAATTTTAAAAACAAAAAATTGTTTCTGAGGTGATAACCAAACATAGCCCAAGTTTTTGGGCAAGGAATCCCTAATCGGATTTGCCTCTTCGGCGCAAGGCCTGAAACATTAGATCATGGGCTTCGCTAGCTTGAAATCTGAAATTCTCTTTCAAGTTAGCGGGGGAAGGGAAAGAAACGACACTTCATAGTCCAAATTCTGAAAGGGCAAAAACAGAACAGTGGTTAGTTCGAATCGATCATTTGTCCTATTCGATCTCTGGATCTTCAAAATCTCGCCGTTAAAACATCAATCGCTATATCGCCGGGTTAAATTTCACCATTTTTTTTTTGAGGCATTTCACTCAGCGACGTAGTGCAAAGAGCTAGGGTTCTTCCAAATCGAGATCTCGAGGTAAGGGCTACACAATTCTCCTAGTTTTCTTCAAAATTATACACCGGAGGATTCATGTTACAGATATGTGTTGTTCTTTAATGATGAGCATTATTCGTGTACTTGTGATTTTCATTTAATATACGGTTCTATCTGATGTTATTTTAGGTTCTTTAGCATTTCCGAGAACAATAATTAAGTTTGTTATTCTCGTCTTATTTAATACACCAATCTCTCAGAGTGATATACCAAGAGATGGATCCGAATTCAGTTAAATCGACTCTGTCCAACTTAGCATTTGGAAATGTTATGGCAGCTGCAGCTCGTGATTATCAGAAGGTGTGTTCTTTATTGTATACTCTCTCGTTTGCTTTATTATTATTATTATTTTTTTTTTGCGTATTATTGTTTTGTTGGTTCACTATCACGGACCCTATATTAGATACATTTACTGATTCATTATTATTATATTGTCATCATAATTCGCTTTGTTGTGCTGAATATTGAATCTTCCCAAAGTTCTCTATAGGTTTGAGATTCTTGTATAACAGACTGTTACAGGTTTGTCTCGTTAAAGACATGAAACGGAAAGAATGCAATCAGAATCAGCATATGAGGATTATGAAATGTTTAGTGAAATTTTTTGAAGCTTACAAACTGTTTGTTTTTCAGCCTCTACCTATCTATATTTCTCTTACTTTGATTCCTCCTCCAGGTGTGATACCTTTTTAACTTGTCTCTTAAATCTCAATCAACCTAGTTATGCATTCCTAGACCTGGAATTTTTATTGTGTGTCTCGCAAGTACTTGTTTTTTGATTGGTGTGATCTACCGCTGTGATTGCGTCCTCTTTGGATAAGCAATGTCTTTTGGTTTTTAGGATAGATTTCCCATTAGGAATAAAGCTGTTAAATCTTGTAAGAGTTCTTAGTGAATTCTATTGTAATACCCATAAGCAACCGCCACATGGTCAGTATGACACTCAATCAGTACGGATTTGTGACCTCAAAAGCTAATATAATGAACAGGGTAGTGGTGAATGATGAGCTGATTGCTGTGGGAAAATTTTGTTTGTAAGTTAGAAAGGTCATATGACTTAGCAATAACTAAACAATGATGTAATTTTAGTTAGTGGCTGGCAGTATATTATTTCACTGGAATGTTTTAGTATCTCATGAGTCCATTAACTGATCTTGCAGGAAATTCTGGCTCATGAGAAGGGACAGACTTCTACCTCTGTTAATGAGGAGGTTGATCTTGATGAGCTGATGGATGTAAGTTGGTGACAATTGAATTTTTCATGCTTATTGAATCCTGTATGTGCATCTAGTTATGTCTATCCATAGTAGTTTAATTGCGTTGGTTGATATTAGGATCCTGAGCTGGAAAAAATGCATGCAGACAGGATTGCAGCCCTCAAGGTTTGTAGTTTGGTCTTATCAACTGCCCTCTCATGTAATTTTATAAATTTGGTGTAAGCTTTCTGATGGTTGAAATGTTGCTATACATGGATATGTTTGAATAGAAAGAAGTTGAGAAGAGAGAATCATTAAAGAAGCAAGGGCATGGAGAGTACAGGGAAATAACTGAAGGAGATTTTTTGAGTGAAGTCACTGGTAGTGAAAAAGTGATATGTCACTTCTACCATCGTGAGTTCTATCGCTGCAAGTAAGTCTCTCTCTCTCTCTCTCTTTCTCTCTCAAGTGTGACAAAGCCTCACCGAAGATAGTTAAGAACACAATGACTAAATGGTGGTTAGCTAGGGCTTTGATTTATGGGTATTTGATTGCAAAGATATTCAAATTTGAATTAAACCTGCTGTTCAATTCTTCGAGCTAAGAATCCATTGTAAACGTGAAAATATCAACCCGAAACTGATGATCAATGGTACCTAGATCTCTTTGATAATGACAACGGCCTCAATCAATCTTATACCTGCTCCCCCCTCTTTTTTTTTTTTTTTTAAAATCCTTCATTGTTGGAGAGTGTTTCATCTTGAATTATGCACTCTTCAGAAGGAGAAACCTAACATTTTAGCGTGACCCTTTAGTCAAAACTTATTTTACTATTGCAAGACTACCTTGATGTTTAAAACCTTAACTCCTTTCAGATTATGTTAATATGCTGTTCCTGTTGGTAATCTCTTAGAACTCTCGTGACTCCAATGCATTCATTTTTATTTTCACTAAAAAAACATTGAGACACATATTGTGAGTTGATAAAACTTACTCTTACTGATTCTTCTAGGATAATGGATAAGCATTTGAAGTCCCTTGCGCCAAGGTATGTGGATACCAAGTTTATCAAGCTGGATGCAGAGGTGAGGTTTTATGTGCTAGTAGAAGTTCTTTACTTGGGTTGAGTCTATAACTGAATAGCAAGTGTAATATGCAAATTTGGTTTCATTCATTGGTAGAAATACACAAAAATGAGATGCGAAATGAAGTTCTTATTGTTGGAATGAAATGCAGAATGCACCTTTCTTTGTTGCCAAACTAGGAATCAAAACTTTGCCTTGTGTCATATTATTCAGGTAATTTCCATCTCTACTGCTTTTTAACTGTTCTACTTTACGTTCTTTTTATACAATTTTTGGGTGAGACGTGATTGGGTGTCTTTTTTTTTTGTTCCTTATAAACAAATACAAGAAAAGAGAAGTTGTAGTATAAGCATTCCATTTTCAAATAACCACAAACTCTGAATTCTTGTCCAGGCTTTGTCTTGGTGCTGATGTAGCTGAGTTAATGAACAAGCAAATGTGAAGATACCTAGACTATTATCCAAACACCAATTCTTTTTGAGTGTTACCGGTTATTTATGGTCAAACTCTTCACAACTTATCAATGGATATAACCCTTTTGGTACGAGTAGTTTATTGGTCTGGGCGTGGATGTTCTTATTTGGACATCTTGTTTGGGCTATTGAATTTTTGTTCTTAATTTCCTGGCGTGGATATTGGCAGGAATTGATTGACAAAACACTAATATGCAATTATATTATTGCATATTAGTGTTTAGGTTTTGCTGGCCTTCTATCATTGCCTTTTGACTTGGGCAAGAAAAACAGAAGCCATATGTTGCTTGTGTTGGATTTGCAGAACAACAGGACAAAGCAAAACCTTGCCTCTACCATCTAAACACCTACATATATGCATCCTATTTAATTGGCTGCCAGGTTAGTCATAGATAAATATGAAGGCATGGGAATCGCGCAATACAATTTCCTTTAATATCCTCGCAATCTATATGCTTCCCCATAGGCGAAACAGTAACAGTGCTGCATTGGCACTCCTATCACTGGAATCAGCACATTCATGGTCACCTTCTGAGCTGGGATTGAGTTTGGGTTGAGGTTGGCTCGGCTTGAGTTACAAAATGAGTAATCTTTACTTCTGATTGAGATAGGACATATTACTGAAAATTTTGACTCAACCCGCCTGAGTTGCAGTCCTAGATGTCTGTTGATCTCTCTATGATTTTTTCTTTAGATTCATAAAAATGATGTTTCATGTAGCAAACTGAAAATCTCAAGAAATGCCTTTTCAGAAAAGGAATCTCAGTAGACAGGCTGGTTGGTTTTCAAGACTTGGGAGGAAAAGATGATTTCAGCTTAAAGACACTGGAGGTTCTTTTGCTGAAGAAAGGTAAGTACTTCTCCAGAATGCTTTGCTACACACAGCCAATGATAGTCTCTAAACCTTCACTTCACAGGAATTATTAGTGAAACTAAAAAAGATGATGATGAAGAGGATGATCATCATGAAAACAGACGCAGGGCAGTGAGATCATCTATAGATCCTAATTCTGATTCAGACTGAGAAGGAAGAGAAATTCCAGCAGTTGACTGGTATTGGCATTGCATGTGCACTTTCATTAATTATCATATCTATAAATCTCGGACCCATGTTCATGATCAAATTTGCAATTTTTTTCCTGAAATGAACTATTTACCCATGGTATAACTATTGATGATGGTAGTGAGTGATTCCTCTTATGTATATTTTCCCTCAGTGTCATTCATCATGAATTGGTTGGGTGGTCCATTTATATAATATGGTGGGTCTCACAAGAATTCATAATAAAAAGTGTATGAAGAGAATCCAAATCCGAGGTAAATAGAGCTTCAGGCATGAAAGAATTTTTTTGGATTTGCTAGCTCTTTAAGCAGCTTAGGCTTATGGTATTTCCAAAGGACAACTTGAAAGTCTATCAGGAGGTACATACTGTAGAGGCATATTATCTTTGGGTTATACCTGTCTGTTATCCCATCAAAATATTATTAGAGAATATTTGACCATTGGAGTTCTTTTAAAGTGACCTTCTAGAAGAGATGATGCGGTCTTCTAACGGTGGTAACTATTTGTCCAATGTGAAATTTGATGGCGAAAGTCTTTTTCTACCCCTTCTAGTAGGTTCCGTGCTGTTTGTTGTCTTCTGAAACTGACCTAGCCTGACTTGTCCTAACCGTCTCGGCATATCTTGACTTGTTCTAGTACGAGTTGTATATACATATTTTTTTGGTATTATCATATAAAAAGTAAAAATAAAAAGTAAGAATGATACACTTTTATTCAAATGAATTATTCATTTTCTTCTTTGGATTTAATATGAGAGATAGAAAGTTGTAAGTATTTTTTTTTTGTTTGATAAGATGAAAAATTAGGAAGATACCATTGCATCTATATATAAAATTAAGGGTTAATAGCATTTTTTATTCTTAAAATATTTTTTTTTTGTCATTGTATTAATTTTGTCGATTTAGTGTCTAAAATATTCAATTTGTGTCACTTCGATCCCTATATAAATAGATTGTTAAATTTTTGATGAAATAATCACGTGTTAGACACGTAATACCTATTTCCACCCTATTAATTATTAAGTTCACCCTATGTATATCTATTAAATTAAACTATTAAATATATGTCAAAGAAAACAGAAACAAAAATTATAATTGAAGTGAAATTTTAATGTTCCGAACTGATTTATATTATTTCGAAGTGTTTTGAGACATTTTGATAAATTTTACCAATATCTTTAGTATATTTTGATGTGTTTTAAAATATTTTGACATAATTTGACTAACATTTTAAAAATAATTATTAATTTTTATTTTGTATCAAAATAATACTTCGAAACTAAATTTTGATCATTGCATAGATAATAGGTTGAAATAAAATTGAATGAATTTAATTACCGAACATAAATAGTGTAAGTTTAGTAATTAATAGGGTGAGTATAGATGAGGTGAATTTAGTAGTTCAAAGTAAGATATGATTAAATAGAGTGAAAAATAAGATTTAAGGGACAAGAGTAATCGCACCAAATAATGTTTATTTAGGAAGAAGATTTTCCCTCCCATTTGTTCGAAGACAAACGATGCTGTTATTCTGTGATTGGGAGTTGTTCTAATTGGGCCGGAACAACTTTTAGGCTGCCCAAGATAACTTTCTTAAAGCAATGCCACTCGTTCTCAGCTCACTTTTATTTACGTCACCACAGGTCCATCAGGGGACCGTTTGGGTCTGGGGACAGCCCTAATCCAAATAATACTTCTTAACCTTGGGCTGTTCGTTCTGTATATTATCTTGGGCCTGGGCTGGAACGTTAGACCCTGACCGGAACTCTGGGTTGAGGATGAGAAGATCGAACTGTCAATGAGTCATGTACGGTCTTGTTTGAGTCGTGTTTGGTCAATATTATAGTATCAAAATTTAGTCAATTCATATTTGACTTGTCTACATTCATTTGTAGCCGAAGGAGTAACGACCCTGTACGTTGCATGAAATTCATATCTCATCGTCTTTCGTTACCGCACTTACTCTTCCTTCTACTACCCCCACCATTTTAAGGAGTAAACAAATTACACTATTAATTATAAACCTTGGGGGGATAGAAAGTAACTTTATTAAAAAAAAATTAAATGAGAAGTTATTAGTTATTGGAAGGGGAATTAAGTGATACGATGAAATGTAATTAAATTGAATGCATGAAAATAAATCAAAATTTTAAAAAATTGAGAGAATAGAGAGAGAAAGCCTCCTCTCTTCCAACTAATTTGTTTGCTATATAATATAATATAGATTTGTGTTATATATATATAGTGAGTTCGCATCGTGGGCAAATTTATATCAATTCATTTATTTAACGAATTTAACGAGTTCATTTGTTTCTCACCTGAATTCACTAATCTTTAACTCAAACATTTAATTTCATATTGATTTTATATCATGTCTAAAATTGACAAGTTCATCAAGAGAACAATCGAAAACCCAGCCTAATTTAAAGGTTACATGATTTTGTTGCTTGAAAATTCGTCAGGGTCTGTTTGATTAGCAAGAAATAGATGATGGAAAGTGAAAGAGATAAAAAGTGAAGTGAAAGAAAGCAAAGTGAAAGAAAATATATTTTCGTGTATGTATTTTGTTAGTATGAAAAACTTTTAAGAAAATTTTAAAAACAATTTTATTTCATCGTTTAAAAAAATTAGTGAGATGTGAGAAAATTTAAGCATGAAAGAAAATTATTTTTTTTAATTTTATATTTCATGCTAAATTAATACATGTAAAATTTTAAAAATTTTTCTTTCTTGCATTATTTAACATTATCTTACTAAACACAAAAAACCCCAAAGAAAGCTCAAACTCACGTTAGCTGTTGAAGGCTGACCAAGATTGAATTATTTCAACCTCCAAATTTGATTGATTTAATTAAGATTTGAATCTTTCAAACACAAAACTTACATAAGCTAAACTTCATTTAGAAACTCGAGGCCATGCTTGGGTTAGAATAGCTCAAACCCTAGGTTGGGTTAAGTTAAATCTAGGTTGACCCTGCCAATTCTTCTGTAGTGCCTAGGCTCTAATTCCTTAAAGTCACACAAATTACACCCGCCGCCTTAGAATTCTTTTTTTTTTCGGCGGTCAGAATGATCGGGTCAATTATGTGTATCTTTTTTTTCGATCTTATCAAAAACATATAATTCACGTTAGGACTAAGATATTTATATGAGATAAATTTTTTATAACGTGATTTCATGAGCTTACAAAAATTCAAACTCAAAACGTCTGAATTTACAATTCGCCATGTTACGACGTGAACTACTCCACTCAAAAAATATAGGAAATTAAGTTACAAGTTTACACCTTAGTCCATTGAATTGATTTGCATTCAAACAATTTACAAAAGAAAAGAAAAGAAAAAATAAAGAAGAAATCACATTATAATTAGTACATCAAAAAATCCAGTGTCATACCATTACCTAGATCACATGATGCTTCATGGCCACTAAGGGGGAGACAGAAAAGGAAAAAACACCACCAGGCGAATAACACAACCTTTCTTTTTTTTTTTTGCTATTTTAAAAAAAAGGGTTGGGAGAAAAGGAGAGCATCCAAAAGCCACTCCGATAATGTTTCACTGGTGAGATCATGAGACTCCTAATCGCATCTGTTACTCCTCTTGAAAACGAAATAATACAACCTATTTGAGCGAAATTTTTTTACGAAATGACTAAACTGTGACATTTTTCACAAATATTCATTCTTACAGCTTATACTTGGTGAGTAAGTGAGAGAGAAAACTCCATAACCTGGAAACAGAAATTCGTTAGCTGTATGTGCCCTTGTTCTCCAAGAATTCCATTAATAATGTTCAGTATTCCCTCCATTTTCAGCATCATTTCCCTTATTCAAGTGCCTCTATGGGAATTTATTTAACAGTGGTCAGATAGATATCCCTCCATTGTAGGTAGAGATGTGTGAAGAGATAAGGGTACAAGGCACAGCCCTCTACTTCTGAGACCATTCATCTGCTGCTCTTCCTGCTTTCTCTCATCCATTCTTGAATTCTGTCAATACAACACCCAGATATATAAATTGTAAGATCCGAATGTCTTTTATACCAAACCTCATTATTGCTGTCACTTTTATTTTGCTCTATTGTGATGACTTACTTAACTGAAAAGTTTACGTATCTCTTTGAAACGTTTTTTAGGTCATTTTTTGCCAAAAAATTATATTCGTTCTAAGGGTAAAAGTATAATATTAGATTGGCACTATATATACAATTTTCGTATGTGCAAAAGTAATCTTGATCACTAGGATAAACTGCCCACCCCTTTCTTCTTCTTCCCTTTCCTCATCTTCCTCTCTTTTTCTCTTCTTTTCTCTCTTGAGTAATGTTATTTATACTTAAAAATCTGTTCTAATCTACTGACTTAATGATGTGATTATTTTGTAATTGTTGAATTAATACCAAATTTTAATATTTGAATTAAATTAATAAATTAGGTCAGAAAACGCAGATACGCACCCTATTAAATTAGGTCCAAATTTCATTGCTCTTCTCTTTCAACATACAAACACAAACACACCCTATTAAATTTAGAATAGTTTGCAAAAATGGTGGGAGTGCTTGTACTAACTGATTTTTCGATAATTTAAAGTTGGAGTAGTAAACGAAAATAGTGAGAGTAACTACATATGAGCTCCTATAAAAAAAAATTATTGGAGTAAACACTTTTTTTTATTAAATAATCTCGATATGTAAGTTAAGTAAATGAGAGGGAAAACCTTTCCATGTCCTTACTCTTTACTTTAATTTGTTTGCGATAAGATAACAACAATGTTGACCAAATTTTTAGATCAAATTTGAAGTTCAAATGACATGACATTATATTATTTAGAGTTTTTATTGGGGTCCAAATGACATGACACCAAATAAAAAAATTTAAATTAACTGTCATGTCATTTGAACTCAAAATTTGATCAATATAGAATTACGCAAAGATAAATAACAAATTTCTAGTCAAGACCTACGATTAGGGTCCACCTTATTATCCAAAGGTTAGGAGTGACGAAGTTATTTTGATAAGTGTAAGAATTCTACTATTCTGTATGGAATTTAAAAGTCTATTGATGTGTTAGATAAGTCACAATATTATTATATTAATAAATTAAGTCATTTTTTAAATCACAATAACATTACTCGTAATCATAAAAAGATAGTTTGAATTATCTTACCCGTTGCATAGTTAATCTACGAGGCTTGCTTCCGGATGATTCCATACAAGGCACACTCAATGTCTGCATGAATGATGAGCGAAATATGAGTTTCCACTAAGAACAAGCACGTCAATATTAGAACGATATTTTATCGTTAAATTTTTTTAATGCATAGTTACTTTCGGTTAATAGAAATCAATCTTACTTATTGCAAAAACAAAGATACATTAAAAAGAAGCTGGGATAGGGAGATATTGCCTGAATTTGATCTTGGAGGAACTTGATGTACCCAATAGCTTCTGTTAATACTGAAGCTGTATCAGTCTGCATGTTCCCACCATCAGAAAAACAAAAACAGAATAAGCATGGCGAAAGAATAAAATCTCTCTCTCTCTCTCTCTCGCGTTAGTGGGTTCTGATGAAGAGGTGAGTGGGTTGTAGACTTGTAGTACCTTGCCAAAAGGTGCGACCAGCTTGTGAAGAGCTGCAATCCTGTCCCCTAATTTCTCTTTTCGAACCTGGTGTCAATTCAGCTATTCCCTCATGTTTCATATACTGTATATAAAAAACATTAACTAGCAAATTAATGTTGTTCTCATTTCATTTGAAGTTATCATGATAACCTTGAGTGCTGGACATGAAGACTTTGATAAGAATCGACACTTCTTAGCTGCTTGATCAGGAAATGGCTGCTCCTTCTGGATATTATTAAGCCTCTTTGTTCTGGTAGCTTCATTCCCAGAGGCTGATGATGTCTTTAGAATCAAATGTAATCAAAGTTAAAAGTTCCACTTATTCTGGAGATGGTGCTATTAAAATTGTTATGCATGATATCACAAACAAATAATAAAGTACAGCAACACATAACACACAAGATATGTGGTTTTTCACAAAAGCATATGTTCACAACTTCACATGCAAAGTGCATTGATGTAAGTATACTGTGAACGAGAAAGATTACATATAGTTCTCTGAGATGATGCAACGCAAGTGAAAAAACAATTATATATTCTAATTATGTGCCCCGAATTTATATTATATTGCACTCCAAAAAATGCTAGTTTTCTGTTTGGATCAATTCTCCACGGATCAGAATTTCAACATGGAGTTCAATTTCAGAAGCAAAAAACTTGCTCGAGTTGTGGTTATTATCCTGTAAAATATATCTAAAAATGCTTCTAAGATTTGAAACATGGAGCATTATCTGATAAACCATATTTTAATGAAACTATCAAACTCGTTATGATGGTGATGATGATGATGCTGATGGTGCCATGGTGGTGGTGGTGATAATAGAACCTTTTTTTTTTTTTTTGGCAGAAGAAAATCTACTGCAAAGAAGAAGAATACTCACTTGCTTCGGGATGCTTGATTGATCTTGCATGTGATCATTGCTTAAAAAGATGCTTTCTTCCAAAGACTCGTCACAACCTCCACCGCGATTTGTATTGCTTATAAGACCCGTAGATAAGTTCAAGCCAAAAGAATTTGAAACCAGTGAAGATAATTGCAAGTTGGGAATACTTGTTCTTGGAACATGGTTTAAATTATAATATGAAGCTGGGGCTGCACATTGAAACCTATCATAAGTTTGAGTATTCGGGTACAACAACTCTATAGCTGCAAGCTGCTCTGATCTGCTAGTTTGGCCACTGGTGGGGAAGGAACTGAGACAAAGCTTCTGATCATGTTGGTTGTAACTTGTGTTAGAGAGGTAGTAATACATTTCACTCAGTTTGGGAAAACTATCTGAAATCTCCTCCTCCTCCTCCTCCATGTTTCCGACTTGATTAGCATTCTTGGGTGACAACTCCATTGATTTCGGGATGATTTCGTCGATGTACCTGTTATATTCCTCTATATTACTGCATGTTCATCATAGACAGAAGAAGGAATTAATAAACTATAAAGGCCTAGTTAAATCTATCTAAAGCTTAAGATGAAAGACAGTGTTATATATCATAATCATATATAGTAAGCAATTCAGATTCAGAGTAGAAACAATTTTCTCATCTTTTTCTTTCTTCCTATTCTATTCAAGGATCAAGAAGATATGTTTTAAAAGCAACTTGAAATTAATTAAGATCTCATCAATCCATGAACGGATCATATATCGCGTCAAAACGACTTATTTTAGAGGAAGAATATAACAAAGTAATTACTCATTTCATCCTCCTATTTTTTTGGAAATTAATGGATTAAGAAAAGAGAAGTGGAGATTCCTTACTTCTTGATCAGTAAAAATTGGCTTCATTGTTTTGGTGAACCCATCACCATATAAACTTACGTGGATACAATTTCGAATTTTTCATACTTTCCACATCTAGTAATTGGGAAAAATAGACAGAATAATTTGTACTTACAACATAATACTCGGCCTCCAAATGGAAGATGGATAGTCCAGATGAAGATTGAGTAGCTGAAGTACATCCTACAATAGTTTGCTGGAGCTGTTGATAATGATAAAGGTTTGAAGACTCCATGACAAATTTTTTTTTTCACTACTTAACTCCTTAGAAAATCCCTAGACAGGTAACCATTGTTCTTCCTACCCTAGGAGTCTTTTAGACATATATACTCTTACTTCAAGCCTCAGTTGAAAAGCTCATCACTGTCTACAGAAGCAACAGATGGAGTCTTTTAGACATATATACTCTTATCCTAGGAGTCTTTTAGACATATATACTCATATTCATAACCCCCCCCCCCCCCTTCTCCCTCCTATTGACCTTTAAACACCATTCTTGTCTTCCTTCTTGTTCATTTTTCTGTGGAAATTGAAAGTTGTGTTGGGTTTTTTTTTTTTTTGTAGAACCTAGTTTTTATGTCGATACGGATGGTGACCCGATCTGAAAATGTTGCGTAATTTTTAATGAAAAATTTTCTGAGACTTAGTCCATGGAGTGAATCGGCCCAAGCCGTAGCGTTTATGGACAAGCCTCGTGTTGCCCCTGAAGAAAATTTTTGGACCTGTTTGTTTCTAATCCGGTGCAAGACATATAAAATTTGTTTTTTTTGAGTGATTAGGGTTTGATTGACTCTGTACGGATGCCGCTCTCTTTATAATCGTTCTTGAGAATAGTGAAACTCTTGCAGCTTCGTAGACGTAGGTAAATTGTCGAACCACGTAAATATTGTCTTGTGCGTGTAATTATTTTTTTTTTATGTGTGTTTTTTCTATTATTTTTTTTCACAAATTTAAAAATTTCGTGTGAATTTCCGGACAAATTATTCTGCTGTCTGTCTGGTTTGAAGGAATAACCGAAATGACTGAAGAAAGAAATCATGGCGGCTATGCTCTTTTTTTCCCACATGTTGGCATGTTATCACTTGGCATATTGTCGATATGCATCATTCAGGATAGTGGACTGAATTTTTTTTTGAACAAACACTGAACATGAAAAGGATGTCTCGAGTTTGTGCTCTGTACCATACCATGATACCTCATCTTGAATGGTAGTCTGGTCCATGTACTTCAAACCAGTTTATGATGAGCTGAGAAGTTGTAGTTGGACAGCACTATTGCATGATCTTACAATGGCATGATGTAATATGATGTCCTCACCCACCGTAACGTAAGATAAGGGTATTTGGAAGACCAAAAAAATTTTAATTTAAAAAAATTGAAGTTTATTAAATATTAAGACACATAACTAATTTAATAACTACAATAAATTTAAATTAAGTTTAAATAATAATATTTTTCTTTAAATCCAGGAAAATGTGACAAAATTGTGCGATAGTTAAATAGTTTTTCGATGTAGTAATCCTAACAAAATCCTTCTAATTTTTTTTTTATAACGTTAGATCATTCATTTTATAATAGTGAGTGATCCACTATTGTAGAGGGATGCATTCGAATTTTTCTATCCCATGTGAAATTCTCACGCATACATTACTCAACAATTTTTCTTATATTATAATGATCGTACGGCACCAAACAAGAAATAAAACAAAAATATCATGTTTTCATGCCGTGCCTAAACGACGAGTCCATTTTTATAAATTTGTTTAACTGACAATTACTCTATTTTATTAATGCGACCCTACTATTAATCCAACAGCAACAGCGAATTAAGGATTATACGAGAGGTTTTCTCCAATATGATGTGTTTTTACGTATTTGCTCATATGCACAGGCTAGTTTGTGTTGCATTATTATCTTATCATTGCGATAAAAAAAAAAAAAAACTTTTTTTGGGTTTGAGTAGAAAACGGTAGCATCATATAGTTATTTATTTATTTATTTATTTTTCTGATAATTGTGACGGTGCAATGCTAAATTTAAAAAAAAAAAAAAAGGGTCATAAAATTCTAATCAGCCCCACCAAAAAGTAAACCGTCAGAGGAAAAGGTAAGGGAATAATGAGATTATGGGCCAAGTTTGTCCTCTATCTTTCGGCCTTAACCAGCTGCCATGCCATTGGCGAACCCCATTCTTCACTCTCGCTTTCTAACTCCTTTTTTTTAACATCAAACAAATATTATCACATTTCATACTAACTTTACAAAGCTTAAGTTTTTCACTATTATCATATTTCTGAACAAGCCCAAATACTTTGAACTGAAAATCAAGCTTTTAGGAAGAAAAAAACCTTATCTTCTTGCTTTTACAATTGTGTTTACAAATTCTGTAACACGTAAACAATTGTAAAATAACTATTTATTTATCTCGAGATCGGGATTCCAAATATGGCATTTGTATTTTCTTAGCCAAAATATAATTTGAAAATGTGAGTGAAGATTCCTTGTCTTTCTAATCCCACTCGCAACCATAGGCATCCATTGGAATCCTAGTTGGATGCATTATGGTTCGAGGTCAATTTAATATGTAATGCATTTGCAATCATATGACCCGACCCGTTGAATGACTATTTTAGTTGTTTTTTAGGAATCATTTGTTGAAGATTTTTAAAGTACTTTTTATTTTGTATTTATTTTTTCAGTTTTAAAGTATGTTTTTTTAAGTATTTTTTTACTTTTTGTTTGCTTCTTCTTTTGCAGGATTTGCTCTCTTCCTCTAACTTTAATCATATGTATATACAGTATAGAAGTGTTATTCATATAGTAAAATGCATCTAGAAATGAAATATCAATTAAGCATGCTTTTATTTTTCCTTTACTTTTAAGTTAAAAAGCCATTTTTAAAAAAATTACCAAATGATAAACTAATCTTTCTCATATTCGCTTAGATAGAGCACAATTAGAGTAAGGGATACTTATTTTCTTCTTTGTTTTTTAGTTTGACAGTCAAAAATGTTCAGACTAGCTTATGCGTATTTCGACAAATTTTCTTTTTAATTCGGTCAAAAAATAAGTCATTCACGTCGAAACTAAAATCTTCATGATGGATAAATTTTTTATAACCCGACCCCAATAACTAATTCCCTCCCCAATTCTATCATCAATTTTAAATTGAATAATTTACCACTATTGATTGAAAAGTGGAGATGGATACATAAAAGCTGGTATAAAGTTACAGTGTACAAGAAGATGTTTGAGAAGAAGACAAGGGACTCGAGCACGAGTCTCTGTGCTTACCCTTTTGCTAGAAGGCAGAGGGAGAAAATTCAGCAATGGGGACCAATTCTTGTTTTTCTTTATATGCCCAAACCTAGATAGGTCGGGTCAAGGTTAATATTGGAGCTGAGAATCCTTAGAAATAGTTTAGCAGTTGGATCTGATCTTTATGATCTTAAGTTCAATTCTTTTTTACACTTACTAAGGGTTAGTTACTTTGTCCTTTTAAAGACATATTTTAACTCAACGCAAGTCACAATAGTCAATCGTTGAGTTCAAGAGAATAGTCGGTACAAATCTAAACACTTTGTAATAAAATAAAAAATAAAAAAAAATTTCGGAGCTAGACAATTCTATACTTATCAAATTCTTTGCAATTCCGTTTATTAAATTAGTATATATTGTTAAATCAATCCGTCTTATTAATTTTTTTAATGGAATTAATTGATCGAATCACCATTTTATTTGGTTGCTAAAAAAATTGATAAGAATTCTCGTACATGCAGTCCCATACTTCTAGATGCACCACGAGACAAAAATTCAGATATAAGAGTATTTTCAACGTTGACTTAAATTTAGACTCAAATTTAAGTCTAAATAATCTAAAAACCTTCTTCAATTTTGAATTCAAATTTATACCAAATTAAGAATAAACTAATAACTTCTTCTGCACCCAAATTGAGAAAAACTCAAATTTTATATTAAATTCCAACCGTAACTTTTTATCCTATCTAAAGTTAAAAGAGTTCTTCAACAACTTATTTTTTTTGCCTCTTCTTGTCTCTTTTCTACTTTATTTCCATTGCCAATCATCACCGAAACTTTCACAGTCATTTGAAGGCTTGTAGGTAAATCTCTTCCTTTTCATCGTCTATCTTTTTATTTTTTGTATTTTTTAATACTCTAATCTCATTCATCTTTTATATTATATAAATCTTAAAATTACCCATCAATCATCCATTTTTGTTAAAAATGATCCATTTTTGGTGTTCTTCAAACTAGACTCATATTAAAGTACTTTTTTTTTTATCTGAATTTATAAAAAATGATAAAGAATTAGAACAATATGAAAATTCTAGAGTGGTTTTGTTAATTTTTTTTTCATTTCTTTTTATTTTTAGGTAGTGTTGTATCCATATTCAATTTTTTTTTAAAACTATTCATTTATGGATAGATATGAAAGTTTCATTTATTTTATTAAATATCATGATTTGAATGACACTAAAAAAATGAGTTTTGGGACAGTAAGAAATGTTTTTAAAAAAATTTAATTAAATGTTTGAGTTTGTCAATTGGAGCATTTTATACCAAATCGAGTTTTTTACTCAAATTTGAGTTTAAATTTGAGTCCTAATTAAAGATGCTCTAAGGGATTGTCTGTAAATCTTTTTGTTAATTACTTTTTTAAGTCACGCTTGGTCTTATTATTATTATTATTATTATTTTGTTTTGTTCAAAATTGAATTTTTTTTTATCTAATTTTAATCATTTGTATAGTAGTATATCGATATATACTAAGATACTAGGGGTAATCCGTATCTGAAGTCACAGTGAAAATTTAAGAGAGATGTTAGTAACCGTTGAATGAGTCTATTTGAAATGTTGAATAGACTTATTGAAATCTATTTTGTTTAATATTATAGATATTTAGATCACATTCGTAAAATAGTAACGAAATTAACTTTTACTTTTTGATTAAATTACTATTTTACTTGTTAAAGGTTACTAAAAATAATTATCAAATAGCATTAACATTTTCTACAATAATTTAACAACAATGTTGTAGTTGATCAATAAATAAATTTCTAATTGCTTTATCTTTTTTTTTTTTGATCATAAAACACTACAACACATCTATTTAAAAGCAGAAGTGTCATAGGTCCTTTGGGTGTGTGCGTGGGTTGTA